GGTCTTATTGCCACATGAAACCAAGTTCAGAATATACATTCACATCTCTCAATCGATTTTTATAAGCCATGGCAAATTCATGCTCTTCTGTTTCTAATCAGTTAAGCCATACTTTGGTTTTCGATGATCTAAAAAAAGGTTTCAAAATAATGATTTGCTTGTCAGAGTCATCCACTTTTGGGAGGCACGAAACGTTAGAAAAGGCGGATTACTCATGGGTGTAGAACTCCTTCTCATGGATCAGAAGGTACTTAATCAAAGGATTTTAAAGAAAAAAATTGAACCTGAAGGCTAAGGACGTTTGATCTCTGTAAAAACAAGAAAACCAAACAAAAAAGGGGTAAAGTCAATGAGAAGAGATTTCAAATATTATTAAAAACGACCAGTGAAAGGAGAAAACGCTCTAAAACTCGACAGCTATAAGTCTCAGGAACTTGCCAAAGCAATTGCCACCACCTAGAGTTATACATTTATCACCAATTCGCATCCGGACAATTAGATTACAAACAAAATACACCATTTGGACATCAGCAAAAAAAGATTGAAAATACGGAAAATCATAACCTTCATCGAAGCCATTAGCTGAGAATCAGGAGAAGAAAGAAGCATCGAAACTCAGGGAAGGGGATGATGAGATGCCAAGAACAGTGATTTCGATGACTTTAAAACGAAGTCGTTGACTTTAAAACGAAGTCTTGACTAAAGCCATTGAAGAAAAGTTGTGCTCCATATGAACTGAAAACAAAACCAACGAGATATTTCAAATATCAAATTGATAGCTAAACCGAACCGAAACAAACATAGACTGATTAAACATCAACAAAACTAGCAAACACCGAGAAAACCCAAAATTTAACTCGGTGACGTTATCGAAAATCATTTGACCAAAAAATCAAACCATCAATCGGCGATAAAGGGGAAATTCGAGATTGGTACCTAAGTTAATTGAGAAATTCAGAGCGAGAGTCGAAGGAGATCGAAAAGAAGAAGAAGCGTGAGCTCTCCCCTGGTAATAACAAGATTAGCAACAAAGAAGAGGGATCTAGATGATGAGATGGTTCCGGTGGGAATAAGGAAGAAGAAATATTGTTCGATTGTGGTCGGTAAATGAAAGAAAAAGAAACGAAGCATTTCTAATTTCTATGAGATAGGAAAATCGAACCGTAACAAACCAAAAGAATTTAACCGGGAATTGGAAAAACAATTAAAAGATGATGACCACGGGAAGAAGAAGAAGCCATATGATATGGAAAAAGTGGGAATACATTTAACACGATTATATCATATGAAACAATTAAAAAAAAAATTATTTTTTACTCCTGATCTTTCTGATTCCTTTCTTCCCGTCCTTAATGATCTGTAAAATACATTTATATTTTATTTTATTTTCTAGATATAAGACTTTTAAATACAAAAACAGTGATTTAAAAATAAAGAGATGAATTTATTGAATGGAATTAAATGCAACATAATTAAAATTACAAAAAAAAAAGTATAAATCATAAATTCATAGCTGGAAAAGCTAAACAAATAAATAAAATTAAAAAATAAATTAAGAACTAAAATATGTATTAGACTAATATTGGATAAGTTTGCCAGATAACCTTTATTGGATATAAAAAAAATTGTCTAATGAATAGTAAAATTAAGGGATTAGTTTAAGAAATTTGAGGATTGGGCTGTTGTATGTTTTTATGACAAAAAATATTTTTAAAAGGTATCTTACTTATTATGACTACTTATAAAAATAATTAAATTGGTTAGGTAAAAAAAAAAAAGTATATTATTAAAAAAAATTATAAACAAAAATTGAAAAATAGTGAAGCATTTTAAAAACCTTTTTTTAATAAATGAAACTATTATTTTCATCTCTTATCAAAGAAACAAAAAAAATTGATGACTCGAACTTGATATACAAATATTCTTAATTGAATCATACATTTTCTTAATATTATTGAATAAAATTAAAATAAAGAGGACATAAGATTTATTTACAAATATTAAAACGGAACCCGCGCGTGCGGGTAAAATACCTAGTCTTATATAATAGGAGAGTTAGTCTCTCCATTTAGCCTATCCACATCAGCAAAAAAGTTCATTAAATTGATTTTAAGATATTTAACACATTACTTCATATTTCTTTACCTATATTTATATTTTAAAATATAAATAAAACTAAGAGAAATACACAACTAGATTACTTAATTAATATAAAGTATGTGATAACTTGATGTTAAAATATATTTAACTTGAAATGGTATATATTTACCTTTTTATTAAAAGGATTTATCCTACTTCAAAATGTTATAATGTGTTCACAAGTTACAAAGTTGAATATAAATTAATTAAGATAATAAAAAACCAATGAGAAATTAGCGTTACAGCTTGATTTCTTAAACAAATAGAAGTCGAGTTTTTATATGTAAATTTAATTGCAGTGAAAAATATGAAAATTTTAAGGATTGTGATATGTTTGTTTCCAAATATATTAAATTACAAAACTAACATAATAGAAAATAATCAATGGTCATGAGGCTCATATGCTACCACAACAAAGTAGATATGTATAAAAGTATATATATTATTTTTTTCATCCTATTTCGGTGGAAATACGATTTTACATTATATTTACAAATTTTAACGTTGAGTCAAATACATATGCATGTTTATAGTCTAACAAAAGTAAACAAACATAATATTTATAACATGCTAAAATGTAAGAAATAGAAAATGGGGTGTTAACATCCTAATAAATAAAATAAAAAGACACGCGATGTAAGATAAAGTATAAATAAAACTAAACAAAAAATTATTGTAAACACAAGCGCAGAGCTTCAAACCTAGTGGTCATAACTAAGCACGATCAAACCCAACCTAACAACCTTGTAAATTTTATAAAAGTTCCATTGCATAACATAAAGTGAGAAAATTTGCAAGAGCTTTGAAACATATGATCGAGAACACTGATTTTCGCATAACTGAGATTGTAAGAAGCCTCAAAGGATTCAAACGTAAATTAGAGATCATGATACATACAAATTATCGACCATCCAAATAGGTTTTTATTTTGCGCTTGTAGATAAATGAGATCGAAATATCCTAAAATTTAATTTTATGTGCATGCAATTTTATATATCAATAAATTATACATAACTTTGATCCTGTAACTTAAATGTCCATTTTAAACAACTATATATCTACTAGGTATTAAAACCCTGCACAAGCGCGGGGTTGTTAATTCACGATAATTTTTCTGCTTATTTTGTTTATATTCATTGATTTGAAATTTTGAATTATGATGGTTATATGTTAACTTCCATGTTTTGGTTATATTTTGAGTTAACCCAACAATTAACACTAACAATATGATCAATTTTTTTTATTAAGATATTAACACCTTACTTCATCTCGAGTTTTCTATTTCTAAAATTTAATATGCATTTGACTCAACGTTAAAATTTGTAAACATTATGTAGAATCGCAATTGCACTCAAAATATGATGAAAAAGAAAAACATGTATAACTTCTTACATATATGCTTTATTGTGGTAGCATGTGACAATTGATTATTTTCTATTATGTTAGTTTTGTAGATATAAATTGTATTTTTGAAACAAACATATCACCATTCTTAAAATTTTCATGCTTTTCGTTGCAATGAAATTTAAATAATAACTCGACTTCTATTTTTTAATAAAACAAACTCTAACTCTAATTTTTTATTAGCTTTTTACTATGTTAAATAATTTATAATGTACCTTTTTTACTTGTAAGCACATTATAACATTTTTAAATAGGATAAATCCTTTGAATTAAAACTTATCTATATACTATTTCAAGTTAAATATTTCTTTATTTCATCTCCATTTTATATTACAACTTTCTTTTAACTTTTAACATCAAGATATCACATACTTTATATTAATCAATTAAATTGTTTGTGTATTTTTCTTAGTTTTGTTTATGTGTAAAATAGGAATATATATAAATAAATATTAATACACATATATTAAATATCTTAAATACAATTAATGATTTTTTTGCTGATGTGGATGGCCTAGGAGGAGAGAGCAACTCTCCTATTATATATAAGATTGATCATAGCATTTTTACTCCTTACAGTTTCATAAATAAAATAAATGTTGACCATTATCTAAAATGTTGTGAAATTAAATTTATAATTTAGTGATATTATTATCTTGATGGATTTATTAAAAAACGTAGAAAAAATATCAAATTACATGAAATTCAATTTATAGAAAAAATGATTTTAAAAGAAACCGATTAATGTTTAAATTTCGTTTAATATGACGTAAATTCCCTAATCAATTCTTGGATTGTGCTAGTTGCATTATGCCTTGTAAGAGTAGGGTGGTAAACTTCTTCTCTATGGTAATATGGTTGTTTACATACATATATTTTAATATTTTTAGTTGTATATAAATGCATATGTTTTGCTATAATCCTTCATAAAATTATATGACAATGTACTGAAAAGAAGTTTGAAGAAATCATTAAACAATCACTACCCTTTTGATAATACTCAAGTTCCAAGTGGATTAAGAGTTTTAAGTACCTGGTCAGAGGATTCATTCCTACAGCACATTGCCTCGTGAAGAAACTGCCATGTCGAGAAGAACACTCCTCGTTAACACAATCCCTTATAAGACCCGAACGTAGATTTCTCCATAAAGCTCTCCATCATAAAATCATAAAATAACAAAAATTGTTTAATGCTTAGATATCTTTTTTGAAAAGACGTAATCAGTTTAATGTTTTAATTTGTTTAAAAGTGAAGTAATCAATTCTTTTTTTGTTCCCTGAAGAAAAAAACATAATATTTTATTCAATTGAAAACAGTACAGACCATGGCCGGAGCCATACATTATTAATAGATATTACATAAAGTGTAGCGATTTGGAGACCAAACGATTAACAAGAAATAACTTGAATCTTCCGCTTCGAGAGAGTTACAAAACGGAAGCAAGACCAAGACGTAATCAATTCTTCGATTGAGATAGTTGCATAATGTCTTCTAAGAGCAATGTGATGTTAGAATGAGAAGAGCCTCCTTCCTCCACAGCCTTGTGAGCTAATTCTGCAAGCTCTTTGGCTCTTCTTCTTCTCTCTTTTGCATCCTCACTCTCACCCATCAACTCTTCCACTGCCATCTTCACACCTTCTTTATCCACTAACACTCCAATCATCTCCTCATATCCAAATTTCATGACATCTTCAACCCCGGCTTTCACCCCAACTTTTAGTACTTGCACGACCAATTTCTCGTTGCAGAACTGGTCTCCAAATAAGGGCCATGTAAGCAGCGGTAGACCAGAGGTTATCCCCTCTAGAGTTGAGTTCCATCCGCAATGTGTTAAGAACCCTCCAACAGAAGGATGTGAAAGGATAATCATTTGAGGAGACCATCCGGTGATGATAAGTCCTCTGTCTTTGATTCTTTCTTCGAAACCGCTCTCCGAGATCCACTGACCTAACTCTTTATACTTCTCCCAACCTCTAATGACCCAAATAAAAGGTCTTCTGGATTCCTCTAGGCCTAGTCCGAGCTCCTTGATCTGAGCCAGAGGAAGATTACAAATACTTCCAAGGCAAACATATATCACCGACTCTTCCTCTTTAGAATCAAGCCATTTAACGCACTCGCTTTGATCAATGTCTGATTTGCTTCCCCTCTCAGCTTTATCTGCTCCCACCTTATTGCACAAGGAAACGGGTCCAATGGACCATACCTTACCGGACCTTGCCTCCTTGAACTCTTTGACATAAGCAGGCTCGAGTTCTTGAAATGTGTTGACTAGCACACCATAAGATGTCTTGTCCGCTTCTCTCAATTCATCCATGAACTCTCTCAAGACCTTAGGCTCATGTACATCGATTGGAGCTTGAGGTCCTGTGAATTCAAGTCTATCAGGAAAATTAGGAACGATGAAGTACTCCTTTTCTGACTTTAAATTCTCCAGGACCTCAGGGTTCTTGCTTAAAACATGCGTTAGCAGTTGACAACAGCAACTATAGACGTTGAAGACGATCTTAGGTATATTGAACGTCTTGGCGAGTTTGGTTGTATAAGGCAACCACAAGTCAGCAATCAGACAGCTCGGTGGAGGACTCATCTCTTCCATGAGCTTCTGAACCGGTTCTTCGAGCATGTTACACGCTTTCATGAACGGTATCATGAGCCGCGGATTGTTAACTAAATCGAGATTCTCTTGTCCTTCGGACAAACCAGCTTCTTGATACGGAAACTTCACGGTCGCCATGTTGAGGGGCAAGCCAGATTCGATGGCACGGCTTATAACATTCTTGTACCTCCCTGCATTATGAGGTGTCGTGACAATTGTTGTGGTCACACCGCGCTGAGCCAAGAGTTTTGCAATATCAACCACGGGAATCATGTGGCCTTGAGCCATGTAAGGAAAGAGAACAAAGTGAAGAGGATCAGATTTGTTGGTTATTTCTGAACTCATTCTGATTGAACGCGAAAAAGAAACTCTCAAGTTTTTTCGTTCTGGTTTTCAATTATATTTGTGATAGAATAGGATGCAGGGAGACCTTATATATAAACAATAAGTGAACACAAGACGTCATAGATGACGTAAACAGAAATTTACTCGCCAAAGCCAAACACCCTCTGCCTCTGGTCCAGTCCATAAATTGTTTAGAATATCTCAAATGTGTTTTTTTTTAATAAGAGATGGGATGGGATGAGTTTAATTAAGTCAACTAAGTTAATAATGGTTTCTGATCTTCGTTTATGAAAATTTGTCACAGTTTTTTCTAATGAAGTTTAAGCCAACTTTTGGAAGTAGTCTTCAGAAAGTAAAAGTTATCAATCAATTTATCACTCTTATTATCACCGATTTGGAACATCTCTTTCCATAAGAACCCATAAAAATATTTGAAACAAAATAAAAAGTTATTATTTTAACACAATTAGATTTGATAGTTACATTTAGTTTTAAGAAAGACCTATATACATGTGTTTCATTAGAAAACTAAGATTGTCATCGCTTTCCTATACACAATTGCACAAGGAATGACGGCTGATTCTCGTCACTGATCCCTATTTTTAAAGAATTCACAACCATTTACCTCAAGCTACTCTCTGGGCCTGCTCATCCACGCAATCAACTGTACGTAATATACAGCCCATGTTATTGAAATTGCATTTTTAACTTTTATCTTAAAATTAACTGATGAAATAAAGCTTAGAAGATTGATTTTAATATGAGATCCGGATCACGGATTGCCCGGGAATAAGTCTACGTGGGACCAATCGGAAATATCATTTAACTGTATTTTCTACGTGGGGACCAAACATAAACGTTTTAATAGTGTCGTTTGGTGTGCATGCAAGGAGAAGGCAGTAGCTCGAATTCTTTAATTTTATATTAAAGAGGGAGGTCCCTTTTTCAATGAAGACAATCGAATTATTTAGAGCCAATTTATAGAATGAGTTTCATGTTTTTTTGGTGGTGGGCGATGATGTGTCTCTCTTTTTACACTACATTATTACAATGAAAATATCACTCCTTTAATTAAGCAAATATTGATCATGGTTTTTCTAGAGATTTTTAGGCATAAATTGATTATATATAGTTACTCTATATAAAATGATGCGTAAATAAATAATAATATATTTGAGTTTATTACAAGAAAACTGTTGCCAAGATGATTGTGAGACAAAAATATCGTTATTTAGTGGTCATGTGTTACTGATCAAATACTTTAATAAATAATACTCCAAAATCATATAATAACGAAAAATTGCTTAATGTTTAAATTAATTAAACCATATAATAAATGATTAGCAATTGTTATATATATAAAAAGTTGATGCTATTCTCCTCCGGTCTTGCCATGTCATCAAAAGAGGATGTTTCTAAATTCACCAATTCGCCACGTCAGCCACCTATTTAATTTATTATATTTTCTCTTTTTAATATTTTAATTTCATAATAATTAGCATTCATTACTATAATAAATTTCACAAGAATATGAAAAAGTCATTTTTAAAAAAGGAAAAAGATTATGTATAGATCTTAAAAAACTATATTTAATAATTATAATAATAAAAATATTTTATATAAATAACACTGTTTTTTTCTATAGTATTTTGAGATGAAAAGAGACAAAGTTTAATATGATGAGACAAAAAAAATAGAATTGGAGAAAAAGAGAATTTTGTTTACTTCTTATGATATTAAGTGACGAGACGAGATATAATGGAACGAAAAAAACGAAAAAAAAAACATGATGAGAAAGGACAAGACATAAATGTTGGACGGGACAAAATGAAAAGAAATGGAATGTGACGTGACTGGACATGATGAGATAAAAAAGGACATAATGGGACAGGAAGGGACGGAACGTGAATTTTACCTACCCCTAATTATATTTAGAGACGAGAGAGAGATAAGACAAAATGAAAAGGAACATAATAAGATATGATGAGACTGGATGGGCCGGACAGAACGAACGGGATGAGAAAGAACATGACAAGATGAAAAAGAATGGAATGGGATATAATTATGTATACCCCTAATTATTTTTAGGGAACGAGACGAGAATAGACAAAATGGAAAGAATCATAATGGGATAAAATGAGACTGAACGAGACGGGGACATGCAGGACAAACGGAACGGGAAAGAACGTATATGATGAAAATGAACGAAATAGGACGAGATGGAAAAAGATGGTACACAAAATTTGCCTAACTCTAATTATGTTTAAGTAATATGTATATAATATCTTTGAAACAATTTAAATTTGGAAAAAATAATAAAATTAACACAACCTGCGGGTAGCGCGGGTCACCCTCTAGTAAATATATAAATGATTAGCAATTATGTCTATCAAAATCTTAAGATATGTATTGGATTCATAAATCCTTTCATATCTTTGTTGGTATTTGAGTATATGTATATTAATATTCTCTTCTTCTCTTTATTTATTTCGATGTCCAGTCGTCCAAAATTGATTTTTTTGTAAATATGTTTGATGTAGTTTTAAGATACTCATAGCTAAGCACGATCCAACCCCACCTAACAACCGTGCAAAATGTTTTTTTTTAAAAAGAATTTGCGAGAGCTTTGAAACCTATATTCGAGAACAATGATTTTCGCATAACTAAGAGTGTGAGAAGCCACAAAGGGTTCAAAACGTAAATTAGAGATCATACATATCTCTTCTTCAAGATGAGTTGGATGTTCATTCAACCAACATTTATCTCTGTCCAAGAACATTGTACATACTTTTTTCCTCTCTCTCATTTACGCAACAAACTGAACCATGAACCATATTTTTGGAATAGCATAATTTGAACATCTACCTCTTTCCACTCATTTTCCGTTTCTCGACCAGTCGACCTTGTTCTATTATCAGTATTGAAGTTTGTTTTCGCAAGACTTTTTTTCATTTGTCTACTTGAAGAATGGCTTGAAATTTTTCTTTTTCATTTTGAGATACCATAATTACTTATTATGACCAAAAATTCTCGCATACTGGAAGACCATTATTGACGATTATTGACCATCAAAAATTATCGCATACTGTAATCAAAATAATTACTTCGTCCGGCATGCTGGAAGACCGATTAGTGACCATCAAAATAGGCAATTATTTTTCGCTTATAGAAAAAATGGGATCTAAATATCCTAAATTTCAATATATTGTATATATGTGCAGGCAATTTATATATCAAAAAATTATACATAACCTTGATCATGTAACTTAACTGTCCATTTTAAACAACGATATATCTATTGATCATAGCATTTTAACTCCTTAGAGTTACATAAATAACAAAATGTAAAAGGTTACCACTACGTACTTACCTAACAAAGATCCCAAGGAACATGAACGGTTTAGAGCGGATAATTAATACAACCAAAGTAAAACTCTAGGAGAGAAGGATTTAAGTCCATTGCCGTGAATGATCCCGCATTGTGCGATCCACTAGGCCTTTTAAGGCCTGTAACGGAGTAGTAGTTGTTGTGAAGATCCTAGCATTCCTCTCCTGCCATAAGGCATAGACAATGACTTGGAGGAGAAGTTTGAGAGTGATCGAAGCATTTCTGTTTGCGAAAGTTGCCGGTAGCTGGAATAAACTGAGCACAGAGCTCTCCAGAGAGAAGGTGTGTTTTGGCCTATGATAGGAGAAGCAAAGCCCTGCCACAATTGGTCAGAGAAAGGACAAGAGATTTGGTGAATATATTCTTATTCTCTTCTTCTATTTGGTTTGAATGTCCATGCATCTGATAATGATTCCTTTCTAAAACGTTTGATGAATTTCGAAGATGCTCATATCTAATGACGATCCAAAATCATAAAACAAAATTGTTTAATGTTTAAATTTCTTTATTTAAAAGGACGTAGTCAGTTTAAAGTTTTAATTTCTTTAAAAATGACGTAATCTGTTTTTTTTGTGTCTTGAAGAAAAACATAATCATTTATTCAATCTAATATATTATTTGCGAAGTGAAAATTTCGTTTAGAGCCACCACGTTAATTCTCAGCTGGTTGATTACCCAGTTACCTTAATGAAAATTCTATTTTTAAAATCTTCATAATTTCCTTTTTTTTTTAATTTCACGAATTATATTAGTAAATAAAAATATTTTATGATAATAATTCTAATTACCATATTAGGCACCACAATTTTGGAAGAAATTTAAAAAATTGGAAAGATAAAAAAGGAAAACCTAGGTTTCTCAACCGACTTTGTTATATAAATAGATAGCAACTTGCAAAATCAACACAGTTTACGATTCTTTTTTCTAGACGTATGATAATATTTCGGAGTCCATATTTCATCTTTTTGTCATGTAGGTTTATTGTTTTTGTTGGATCTTAGTGTTATTAGCTCTAATGATTAACTGATTATTCATTATTTTTCTTTAAATTTTATGCAAAGATTCGGATCTAACTTCTAATTCTTTTACCTTCGTAACAGTAAATTCATGCTTTGTTAACTAATGAAATCAAGAAGATCAAATATGGTACCAACTCAAAACAGTTCTTCCCACGAAATATGTGGTATGTACATCTTTCCTTTTTTAAACAACTTAAATCTCATAAAACCCTAATTCGACTAAGCTTATCTAAAAGGATTTTCAATATTCGTTTAAGATCCATCATATTAGTTTCATATTTCATAGTAAATCGTAAGTGATTATTTTATCAGTTTCATATTTCAAGATGAAAAAACATAAATAAAGAAAAATGAAAAGGAAGCCGAAATTGATAAATAAGATACTGAAAAAAAAATTGATAATAAAAAATGACAATGAATATAATATGAAATAAGAAGAAAAACCTGAATAATAGTAAGGGAAAGATGAAAGTTGGAAGACAAAGACGAAAAAAAAAAAAAAAAAAACAGAAGAAGAAAAGAACTGAAGAATATGTGAACAACAAAGAAGTTGGAAAAATCAAAAGATAAAAAAACGAAGTTTAAGAACACAAAGCCAAATGAAAAACAAATTGTAAATAAAATGAAGAAAACGAATAAAAATCAGGAAATAAAAAGATGATAATGAAGAGAGAGGAAAATAAAAAGAGAATAGAAAGTTTGGTAAGAATAAGAAAAAATGGTAGAAAATGAAGGAAAAAATTTATGAAAGAAGTAAAAGAAGAAGATAATATGCGGTTGGAGTTTATGATGTACCGTTATAATGTGGGGTTTAAATTTAGGGTGTAGGGTTGCTTTGAGGGGGGGGGTTGTTACACTATAGGGTTTGGGTTTAGGGTGGGGTGGTGTTACACTATGGGGCTTGGGTTTAGGATGTAGGGTTTATATTGATGGGTGTAGGGTTTAGTTTTTGGTGCATTTTTAAACATTTGAATGGAAGAATATCGTAAATAAAAATCATTGATTATAAAGTTATATCCACCTTTCTAAATTACATTCACAAATAGAAAAATTAACAAATTAAAGCAAATCCATAGTGGAAAGATAACAAAACCATGATAGATTTTTAAAAGATCTCGACTATATAAAGAATTGGAGAAGAATAAAAGAGAACAAAATTAGAAGTGTGAAATCTTTTGTATCTCCCTAAACGAATGAAAAAGAATATTATATAGAAGAACGAGAAAGAGAAAATAAAAATAAGACACATCAAAATTATAGAAATAAGAAGTTAGCGAAAACAAAAAATTAATATAATCAAAAATTATACTACTTATATTATTAAAATCTTTATTTAATTAATTTATTTAAAAAATATTGTACCTGCACAAGGTGCGGGACAACCACCTTGTCATATTAGTATTTGCGAAGTGATTTTCATGAATGGAGCCACCACGTTAACTCTCAGCAGAGGAATTACCGAGATGCCCTTAATGAAAATCTTTCAATTAAATCTTCAAATTTTTCTTTTTTTTTATTAAAAAGGAATTTGATTATTGACTTTTAATATTTTTAGATAAATATGTTAACTACCATATTCCCTGCCTTATTTTTGGCAGATATTATAAATTTTAGGTAGATAAATATTAAGTAAATCCTAGGATTCTTAACTGACCCTATATTATATACACAGATACGAACTTGGACAAACAACCTAATTCTCATTACAATTTGCAATTTGTCTTTCAATACGTAATTTAAGTTCTTAGGTCTCATATTTCTTCTTTACATGTACCTTAATTGATAATATTTCGGAGTCCATATTTCATCTTTTTGTCATGTAGGTTTATTGTTTTTGTTGGATCTTAGTGTTATTAGCTCTAATGATTAACTGATTATTCATTATTTTTCTTTAAATTCTATGCAAAGATTCGGATCTAACTTCTAATTCTTTTATCTTCGTAACAGTAAATTTATGTTTTTTTAACTAATGAAATCAAGAAGATCAAATATGGTACCAATTCAAAACAGTTCTTCCCACGAAATATGTGGTATGTACATCTTTCCTTTTTTAAACAACTTAAATCTCATAAAACCCTAATTAGACTAAACTTATCTAAAAGGATTTTCAATATTCGTTTAAGATCCATCAGTTTCATATTTCATAGTAAATTGTAAGTGATTATTTTATCGGTTTCATATTTCAAGATGAAAAAACATAAATAAAGAAAAATGAAAAGGAAGCCGAAATTGATAAATAAGATACTGAAAAAAGAAGATTGATAATAAAAAATGACAATGAATATAATATGAAATAAAAAGAAAAACCTGAATAATAGTAAGGGAAAGATGAAAGTTGGAAGATAAAGACGAAAAAACAAAAAAAAAACAAAACAGAAGAAGAAAAGAATTGAAGAATATGTGAACAACAAAGAAGTTGGAAAAATCAAAAGATAAAAAAAACGAAGTTTAAGAATACAAAGCCAAATGAAAAACAAATTGTAAATAAAATGAAGAAAACGAATAAAAACCAGGAAATGAAAAGATGATAATGAAGAGAGAGGAAAATAAAAAGAGAATAGAAAGTTTGGTAAGAATAAGAAAAAATGGTAGAAATGAAGGAAAAAATTTATGAAAGAAGTAAAAGAAGAAGATAATATGCGGTTGGAGTTTATGATGTACCGTTATAATGTGGGGTTTAAATTTATGGTGTAGGGTTGCTTTGAGGGGGGGGGGGGTTGTTACACTATAGGGTTTGGGTTTAGGGTGGGATGGTGTTACACTATGGGGCTTGGGTTTAGGATGAAAGATGCTTTTTTAAACATTTGAATGGAAGAATATCGTAAATAAAAATCATTGATTATAGGGTTGCTTTGAGAGGAGGGGTGGGGGGGGGGGGGGGGGGGGTTGTTACACTATAGGGCTTGGGTTTAGGGTGGGATGGTGTTATACTATGGGGCTTGGGTTTAGGATGAAAGATGCTTTTTTAAACATTTGAATGGAAGAATATCATAAATAAAAATCATTGATTATAAAGTTATATCCACCTTTCTAAATTACATTCACAAATAGAAAAATTAACAAATTAAAGCAAATCCATAGTGGAAAGATAACAAAACCATGACAGATATTTAAAAGATCTCGACTATATAAAGAATTGGAAAATAATAAAAGAGAACAAAATAAGAAGTGTGAAATCTTTTGTATCTCCCTAAACGAATGAAAAAGAATATTATATAGAAGAACGAGAAAGAGAAAATAAAAATAAGACACCTCAAATTATAGAAATAAGAAGTTAGCGAAAACAAAAAATTAGTATAATAAAAAATTATACTACTTATATTATTAAAATTATTATTTAATTAATTTATTAAAAAATATTGTACCCGCACAAGGTGCAGAACAACCACCTTGTTGAAAATAGTACAGACCTTGACAACAAAAAAACAGTACAGACCATGGCCAGAGCCATACAGTTTTAATAGTGTAGGGATTTGAAGACCAAACGATTAACAATAAATGACTTGAATCGTAGGGATTTGTTACACTATAGGGTTTGGGTTTAGGGTGGGATGGTGTTACACTATGGGGCTTGGGTTTAGGATGAAAGATGCTTTTTTAAACATTTGAATGGAAGAATATCGTAAATAAAAATCATTGATTATAGGGTTGCTTTGAGAGGAGGGGTGGGGGGGGGGGTTGTTACACTATAGGGCTTGGGTTTAGGGTGGGATGGTGTTATACTATGGGGCTTGGGTTTAGGATGAAAGATGCTTTTTTAAACATTTGAATGGAAGAATATCATAAATAAAAATCATTGATTATAAAGTTATATCCACCTTTCTAAATTACATTCACAAATAGAAAAATTAACAAATTAAAGCAAATCCATAGTGGAAAGATAACAAAACCATGACAGATATTTAAAAGATCTCGACTATATAAAGAATTGGAAAATAATAAAAGAGAACAAAATAAGAAGTGTGAAATCTTTTGTATCTCCCTAAACGAATGAAAAAGAATATTATATAGAAGAACGAGAAAGAGAAAATAAAAATAAGACACCTCAAATTATAGAAATAAGAAGTTAGCGAAAACAAAAAATTAGTATAATAAAAAATTATACTACTTATATTATTAAAATTATTATTTAATTAATTTATTAAAAAATATTGTACCCGCACAAGGTGCAGAACAACCACCTTGTTGAAAATAGTACAGACCTTGACAACAAAAAAACAGTACAGACCATGGCCAGAGCCATACAGTTTTAATAGTGTAGGGATTTGAAGACCAAACGATTAACAATAAATGACTTGAATCGTCCGCTTCAAGAGAGTTACAAAATGGAAGCAAGACGTAATCAATTCTTGGATAGTGCTAGTTGCATTAAGTCTTGTAAGAGCACGGTGATGTTGGAATGAGAAGAGCTTCCTTCCTCCACAGCCTTGTGAGCTAATACTCCAAGCTCTTTAACTCTTTTTCTTCTCTCCTTAGCATCATCACTATCACCCATTAATTCGTCTACTGCCTTTTTCACTCCTTCTTTATCCACTAACTCGCCTATCTTCTCCTCTTCTCCCCAATTCATAGGCTGGTAAACCCCGACTCTGACACCGACTTTTAGTACCTGCACAACCAATTTCTCATTGGAGAATTGGTCAACAAATAGCGGCCATGTAAGCAGCGGTACACCAGAAGTAATTCATTCTAGAGTTGAGTTCCATCCACAGTGTTAAGAACCCTCCAACAGAAGGATGTGAAAGGATAATCATTTGTGGAGACCATCCTTTGATGAGAAGCCCTCTGTCTTTGATTCTTTCTTCGTATCCGCTCTCCGAGATCCACTCAACTAACTCTTTGTTTTTTTCCCAACTTCTTATGACCCAAATGAAAGGTCATTTAGATTCCTCTAGGCCTAGCCCCAGCTCCTTGTGCTGAGCCAGAGGAAGATTGCAAATACTTCCAAGGCAAACATATATTACCGACCCTTTCTCTTTAGAATCAAGCCATTTGAGGCACTCGCTTTGATCAATGTCTGGTTTTTTTCCCCTCTCAACTTTATCTGCCCCTAGCTACCTTATTGCACAAGGAAACGGGTCCAATGGACCATACCTTACTGGACCTTGGCTCCTTGAAGTCTTTGACATAAGCAGGCTCGAGTTCTTGAAATGTGTTGACTATCACACCATAAGAAGTCGTGTCCGCTTCTAGCAAATCCTCCATGAACTGTTTGTACTCTTCAGAAATAATTGCATCGACTGGAGTTTGAGCTCTTGTGAATTCAACTCTATCAGGAAAATAAGGAACGACGAAGTACTCCTTGTCTGACTTTAAATTCCCCAAGATCTCATAGTTCTTGCGTAAAACATGTGTAAACAGAAGATAAAAGCAACACATGCCATTGAAGAGGATCTTTGGTATATTGAATTTTTTGGCGAGATAGGTTGTGTAAGGTAACCAAACGTCAGAAATCAGACAGTTCGGTGGACGACTCATCTCTTCCATCAGCTTTTGGACCTGTTTTCAAGCGTGTTACACGCTTTCATGAAAGGTATCATGAGCGCCATCGAGTCAAGTAGATCGATATTCTCTTGTCCCTCCGACAAACCAACTTCTTGATACGGAAACTTCAGAGGCACGATGTTAATGGACAAGCCAGATTCGATGGCACGGCTTAGAACATTCTTGAACCTCCCTGCATTGTGAGGCGTCGTGACAATTGTTACGGTCACACCGCGCTGAGCCAAGAGCTTGGCGATATCAACCATGGGAATCATGTGGCCTTGAGCCATGAAAGGGAAGAGGACAAAGTGAAGAGGATAAGATTTGTTGGGTGCTTCGGATGCCATGTTACGTTGGTTCAACGCTAAAACGAAACTCTCAATTTTTATTTTTTTTGTTCTGGTTGTGGATTCTCTGTGGGAGAGCGCTTATATAGAATACAATGCGTGGAGAGCAAAAAAGATAATTAGTGAACAGAAGACGTAAGCAGATTTTTTACTTGCCAAACGCCTTTAATCCAGTAAACAGATTATTTAACGTACGTTTACTTCTACAAGTCATCTTAGCCAATACTTACTTTGTTCATTTGTGACACATCCAGCCCCGGCTCAACAATCTAAATAAAGCCAATTTTAATCATGTAAATAAAGTGTATGTGACATACGTGAGGTCGTTTACTAATAGGTTAAACTTTTTGATAGTCGGGCTGATAATGTCAATGTGAGGGGGACTTAACTTTGGATATAAAAACTAGGTGGAATTCAACATACGTAACGTTGCTACAAGCTATTAAGTGGACTTTGCCGTTAGCATTTGATACAAATGGAAGCTGAAGATAGGCTATTCATTAATTACTTTCTAGAAATAGATAATTAATGTAACTTTCGACCAATAAAAAAAATAAGAGAAGAGGAGAGGTTAGTAGGTTTCTAACCATCTCCTACAATTCTACTTTGATTATCTTAGCCTCTAATTCAGTTTGGTCCTACAAGTGTTATACTGAGATAGTGACTATAGAGATGAATCTGATTAACTTGAGCAATATATTAGGGAAAGAGTTGAGTGCTAAGGCCGAAGACATAAGAGACAATTGACAAGTGAGTAATAATCCATAGGTTATTGATTGTAATTTGTAGCCTTGTAGCTAATGTCTTTGATCCTAGCAAGAAAATGTAGTTTGCGAAGATATGCTTTGAAAGACTTTCTGGCAAAGATACTACAAAAGCTAAATGGATGTATACAGTATAGTTTAGTCACTTAAGTTATGAAATATCTTGTTGCAGCGTATAGCGCTTGGTCCAAGAAGGAATCCATTGTCACACACCATACATCACAGACAAATCAGGCATCAACTGCTGGTGGCCATTGTTTGCGCTGTGAATATGGATTTAGTGAATGATGAACTAGGGTATGAAAAGATGGATCAAGTTTATAAGGATATGATTCGTGAATTAGGTGTTGAAGATGAACGGTCTGAGTTGGATATTAAAATATGAATGACAAAGTTGAAAATCCAAATACTTTGCACGGAAGAGAGTACAATGCCTTGTCTTGTCTTGTCTTAGTGTCTTGGGCGTTCGGGTTTCGGGTCAGGTTTGGGTTGGTTCTATTCGGGTTTCGGGTCAGGTTTGGGTTGGTTCTATCCTGGTTCGGGTCTTTTTGTGTTGCTAAATATTAGATCTGTTCGGATTTAGGAAAATTTTTGTTCGGTTTCGGCTCGGTTCGTATCGGGTTCGGGTCGGTTTGAGGCTAAATTTTATAGACCTGTTCGGGTTTGCTGCAAATTTCGGTTCTTATTTGGAACAAAATAACCGAAAAACTTGTCTTTATTCCATTTTCTATAAAAATATTTTGGATTTTTCGAATATTTTGGTTATTTTATTCTAAATATAACTATTAAGTTAGATTAATAATTGTAGTTTTAATTATTTTTGATTATTTTAAGTTTAAATATAACTAATATTTTGGGTATATAATTATATTTTAGATATTTCGGATATCCATTCAGTTCTCGGTTCGGTCAGGTTTGGTTCGGCTTTTTCGGATATAAAAATTTTGGATCTATCAGGTATTCATGTTGGTTCCGGTTCAGTTCGGTATTATCTTTTTCTGGTTGGGTTTGGTTCGGGTCTTTGGGTCCGGGTAAAAATGCTCAGGCCTAGTGGAAGGTAATATCATTTACTTATATTTTCTCCGTGGGACCAATCGGGACTATCATTTACTTATATTTTCTACGTGGGACCAAACATAATCGTTTTAAGTGTATAGTGTGGTTTAATTAGTGTGCATGGAAGGAGAAGGAAGTAGTTCGGATTATTTAACTTAATTTTAAAGAGGTAGGCCTCTTTTTCAATTAAGACAATCGAATTATTTTAAGCCTTTCATATGAGTGTCATGCTTTTTTGTTGATCGGCGATGATGTATTTCTTTACTCTCTACATTATTACAATGAAATATATTACTCCTTTTTGCAATATTTATGATGATTTTTTAGAGATTTATGTATATATTGATACTGATACTTACTCTATATAAAATGGTACGTAAAAAACAAACAATATACAGTTACTATAAAAAGAAATTGCTGTCACAGTAAGTTTAAACGAAATTACTTATTCAATGATTGTTAACTAGATCATGTGTTATCGATCAAATACTTAGTAAATATAATTTCCTAAAACAAATAATCAATAATTAGGAATTATGTCTATAAAAACCTTAAAATATATATTGGACTCTAATACATTTTAGTCTTTTCGTACATATCTCATCTTCTGTTGGTTTGAATGTCGTCGATCCATTCATTTGATATTGATTTCTTTCTAGGCACGTTTGATAAACTCCGAAGATGCTCATAGCTAAGCACAATCCAAACTCATATAATAACAAAAATTGTTTAGTGTTTAAATTTGTTTTTAAAAAGACGTACATAATCAGTTTTATGTTTAAATTTCTTTCTTCTTCTTCACATTTGCACCCAAAAAAAAATGTTCAAATTTTTTGAAAAGGACGTAATCAATTCTTTCTTTTTTTTCATTAAGAAAAACATAATCTTTTATTCAATTGAAGTCGGAGCCATGCAGTTTTAACAGCGATAACATAAAGTGTATGAGAATAACTTGAACTTTCCGCTTCGAGAGAGTTACAAAACGGAAGCAAGACGTAGTCAATTCTTGGATTGTGATAGTTGCATTAAGTCTTGTAAGAGCAGGGTGATGTTGGAATGAGAAGAGCCTCCTTCCTCCACAGCCTTGTGAGCTAATTCTCCAAGCTCTTTAACTCTTTTTCTTCTCTCCTTAGCATCATCACTATCACCCATTAATTCTTCTACTGCCTTTTTCACTCCTTCTTTATCCACTAACACGCCTATCTTCTCCTCTTCTCCCCAATTCATAGGCTGGTCAACCCCGACTCTGACACCGACTTTTAGTACCTGCACAACCAATTTCTCATTGGAGAATTGGTCAACAAATAGCGGCCATGTAAGAAGCGGTAGACCAGATGTAATTCCTTCTAGAGTCGAGTTCCATCCACAGTGCGTTAAGAACCCTCCAACAGAAGGATGTGAAAGGATAATCATTTGTGGAGACCATCCCTTGATGATGAGTCCTCTGTCTTTGATTCTTTCTTCTAAACCGCTTTCCGATATCCACTCAGCTAGCTCTTTATACTTCTCCCAACCTCTAATGACCCAAATAAAAGGTCTTTTGGATTCCTCTAGACCTAGCCCGAGCTCCTTGAGTTGAGCCAGAGTAAGATTACAAATACTTCCAAGGCAAACATATAGCCCCGACCCTTCCTCTTTAGAATCAAGCCATTTAAGGCACTCGCTTTGATCAATGTCTGATTTGTTTCCCCTCTCAGCTTTATCTGCTCCTGCCTTGTTGCACAAGGAAACGGGTCCAATGGACCATGCCTTACCGGACCTTGCCTCCTTGTAGTCTTTGACATAAGCGGGTTCGAGTTCTTGAAATGTGTTGACTATCACACCATAGGATGTCTTGTCCGCTTCTTTCAAACCCTCCGTGAACTCATTCCACTCTTCAGGAGAAGATTTTTCGACTGGAACTTGAGGTCTTGTGAATTCAACTATATCAGGAAAATAAGGAACGACGAAGTACTCCTGGTCTGACTTTAAATTCTCCAGGATCTCAGGGTTCATGCGTAAAACATGCATACACAGAAGCCAAAAGCAAGACATGCCACTGAAGAGGATCTTTGGTATATTGAAATTCTTGGCGAGTTTGGTTGTATAAGGCAAACAAATGTCAGAAATCAGACAGCTTGGTGGAGGACTCATCTCTTCCATGAGCTTCTGGACCGGTTCTTCAAGCGTGTTACAAGCTTTCAAGAAAGGTATCGTGAGCCCTAACGAGTCAAGTAAATCGACATTCTCTTGTCCTTCCGACAAACCAGCTTCTTGATGCGGAAACTTCACATGCACTATGTTAATGGGCAAGCCAGAATCAATGGCACGGCTTATAACATTCATGAACCTCCCTGCATTGTGAGGCGTTGTGACAATTGTTACGGTCACACCTCGCTGAGCCAAAAGCCTTGCAATATCAACCATGGGAATCATGTGGCCTTGAGCCATGAAAGGGAAGAGAACAAAGTGAAGAGGATAAGATTTGTTGCTTGTTTCTGAACCCATGCTGATTCAATGCCAAAAAGAAACTCTCAAGTTTTTTTTTTGTTCTGGTTTTTGGATTCTATTTGTGAGAGCCCTTATATAAAAAATAAGATGCGTGGAGAGCTAAGAAGATAATAAGTGAACAGAAGACGTAAGCAGATTTTACTCGGGTAAACCAACATGTGTCAATACTTACTTTGTCCATTTGTGACACATGTTGAATCCCGCTAATAAAAAAAAAAACACAGAAAAAAAACAACTTGGAGGCTCGCAGTCGCTAATAAGTAATAACTATATCTACTGCTGCAGCTCCCACGAATTAAAATACTGGCACAGAAATTTAATAATTCAATTCTCTGTGAAGTGTTTTGTTGAAATCGAAATAAACATTTTCTCTCACAAATATTTAAATAAAAACTGAAATATCTTCTTAACTCGTCATTCGTTGCCCTCGGTAGCATATTTACTTAAGGGTCCAAATGTTGCAAATGCATTGGTTACAAATGGAAATTTCAAGACAAGTTAGTTGGCAACGCACTACAATCAGAAAAATGTACTAAAAGTTTAGTGAACTGGTTTTGCGTTTTTTTTTTTTGGTTCTGTTTAAGGTTGAGTTTGACCTAAAAGCTATATTTGTTTCAGTAACTAAATACCTTTTAGATAACTTAAAGATGGACCTTACCTGAAGGTTACCAAGCCGAACATATAAGTTTAGGGAAAGAGTTGAGTGCTAAGGCCGAAGACATGAGAGAAAAATTTGACAAATATTGGAATGGAGTGAAGAACATCAATAGGTTATGCATTGTAGCTATTGTCCTTGATCGTAGCAAGAAAATGCAGGGAAGTTCCCAATTTTATCAAAAGTAGCTTGAGATGTTCTTGCTATGCAAGTGTCCTCTGTAGCATCTGAAAATGCTTTAGCACTAGTGGCCGAATCACTGATCCATATAGAAATTTTTTAAAACATTACATGATTGAGGTCTTGATGATGTGCATTGAGCAGTGGATGAAGGCTGAGAGATTAAGTTAGGCGAGAAAACATATGTTTGTTGATGTTACATTGCAAGATGAACTTGAGAGAAGTGTGTTCATTTTATGGTTTCCCATTTCATGACTTAGGTTATATGTAAGTTCTATGTCCTAACATTCTGATTTTATCTCTCCTTTTTTCAGAATTTTATCTTAGACCCAACTTAAACTATATGCACCTCAAAGTTCAAAGGTTTTTTAGTAACAACTTAAGTTACTTGGTTTCTTTATTGTGATGTGTTTTTTAACTTGACTAGTATGTCAAGTTGGGAAATGGAAAGCATGGTCTTGCTCTCTTTCTATTTATTCTATAAAATTTTGACATGTTGGGGATAATGTACATTGAAGTAGTCTGATACAAGTTGATACGCAATTCAAGTCTTAAGCCCATAAGATTGATTTTTGCCACGGTGGAATATGTAAATATTAAGTATAGTGGTATTGTGGTAAGTATACAAATTTAAATTAAGAAGGAATGAGTAGCGTAGAGATGATTTACGTATTTGATATGGACATATGGGACCAAAAAAGTTAATGAATTGTGTATACAGCTATAACCACGCAAAAATTGGTCAGAATATAGACAGCTTCATACAGGCTACCACATGGGATCGGATTAAAAATGCTGGACCTCGCATTATGGCTATTCTGTATCTTCTTAGCCAGAAAACTATATCATTTTTCTTTTACTGTTTTAATTGTTCCAATAAAAAGATAGGAGTTGAATTTTAGCGAATCAAGCAAGTTAATTGGTTAATAAGATATAGATATGTATACATGCTGCATGCGTACGTAGTGTATCAGTCTATGTGTTTTTTTTATTTTGAAATTTGGTTAAGGTTGTATTGTGACTTGTAATACCAAAACGTCTAACTTATAGACGATCGTTAATATGGATAAACATATGACATTTATAAAGTTTATATATATACATAGTTCATATAAGCCAATATATCACGATTTTCGAGATTGGTAAACTGGATTAGTTTTTAGTGGCTGATCCAAGCCAATTGAACATAGATTGATTATATAATGGTGGTTTTAATGTTTTAGTATATTCCATAATTGCTACTCCCTCGGTTTCATATTAGTTGTCCTGTTGCAAAAATGTATCTGCAATATATTTGAATGTATATGGATGTGTTTTGAGTTTAATACATCAAAATATATTGCAGATATATTTTATCAAAATGACAACTAATATAAAATAGATGGAGTAAAAACATTAAAAAATACTGGCAACAGAGCATGAAAAAAATATAAAAATAACATGGCAGGGAGAGCAAGCGTTGACAAGATAGACCAATCATCAAGCTCGAGTGTACACGTCGCATTAGATGAAAACAAAGCCATTGTAGGAGAAAAAAAGGGACAATACTATGGGAAAATATCTTAAAGTTTTTAAAATAATCTTCGATAGATTTTCGTAATTTCGCATTGTTGGATCTGTTATCATCTCTTAAGGTACAACTTTTTTCTTTCAAAATGATAATTCTGAAGATAGAATAAAATTAAAAATATACTGAACGTTTCAAACATTAGTTTTACAATACTACTCGTATACTTGGGTTTGTGAGATATATACAACACAAATAAATGTCTAAAAGACCCATTTCAAGCCTCTTGAAAACAGAAATAATACAAATTAACAACTGCAACTGGGGATTTTACCAAAGAAAGACGATTACCATTGTGCAGCTTGTGCTGAAGACTTGAAGTTTCATGTTGATCTTTATGGAGAGAGAATGATGAAGGGAATTTAAATTTGGTTGATCAAGATCACATCAAAGCCGAAAATCTTATTACTGAGGGCAAAATTCTTGAAGGGGATATAACACATTGTTGTTGATTATCAGGTAAAGAACGCATAATATCATCTCCTCGAGAAGAAAGAGGAATGGCTGCGACAATTTGATGCAGCTTTGGCTGGATTGATTAGATCTTGCCCATCTCAGTTTATTTGATACCTTGTTTTTAACTTTTGTTGCCAAGGTAACAAAACCGAAATGAAGACATGAAACGTTAAACGATGAACACCATTGTTTAATTTGAGATCATAGATAAAGCCCCACTAAATACAGTACGACCAAGCTCTGTTGAACTTATGTTTGAGGAAAAACTAAGCATGAGTACAAGTTGTTAGATCCGAGATAGCACTCGTCAAGACGGGCTATCAAAGATGTGAGTTTAGGAAACTAGAATGCTTAATTCGACTCTCAGATTATCAAGAAAATTACAAGGAAATAACCTCGCTAACAAGCCTAGCGAGATTATGGTGATGAACAAGAGGGAGAGTAAAAGCTAGTATCAAGGCCTAGTGATTCTAGATGATTTCGGATCCCTTTCTCCATGGGGGGGTCTTCAATATATAGTGTTGATAATTCGGCCGTCCGATGAATATCTTACTCGAGCGAGATGGAAAACTTCCTCTTTTGCGATATGGAAAACTTCCCTTTCTTCTTGATCTCCTTCCATTCTTTAAGTCGGCATGAAGATCTATTTACATTTCTCCATGACTGTGCTTTCTCTTCAAGTCTTGCCTTTTTCTTGAAGAAGTTAAGCCTAAAATCGGATTGGGCTTTGTGACTTTACTAATGATGACGGGCTCAGGGAAATGTGTTAATTTCTCCTCTAACACAAGTCATACAGATACGTTGACCCATGTAGATAGATATTGTTTGGTAACGATATGTCCCTTGAACTCATCCATATTCTTGTGACTTGAGTCACACTTGATCACCCGTCGGACATGTAAACTTATGTAGACTTAAACATCTCACCTTAACCTGATTTCCATGTTATTTTAGAGGAAACCACCGCATACAATTGCTTTTCAGAAGTGAGAGTATTTGGTATCGAAACTAAATTGAATCACAAATGTGAGAGTAGTTGTTCAACAAAAGAGGGAAAACGCATAGCAGTACTAAATCAACTCAAAATCCTTCTTCTCCATATAATTAACAAAGAGAATAGTTCATGCAAGACATGAGAAACAATAATCACATACCAGCAACTGGCCGAGAAAATTGTCTCTAGGATTGAGAAAATAGTTTTGTAATAGAAAATCAGATACGTCAATTAGACATGGACATGGAGAAACATTACGGTTTGGACTTTGAGATTCACCGGTCATCTTTGAACTTTTGATTGCTTTGACGTTCTTTCTTTATTTTCTTTTGATTGTGTTATGGAATGATATCACTTTGGGTATTGACTTTTGTGTGGTCTGGTTTTAACTTTTTTGACAAGAACGATTTGTACTTAATGGATAAATCAAGTTGAATGTTTTTCTTTTCTTTGTTTTTTTTTTTTTGATTTTTTTCGGATTTCATTTGTACTAACAAATTATCAGATAAATAAACTATAATTTTGGTTCGTTGACTAAAGAAAATCTAATTATCATAGCATTCTAACTCTATCCAATTACATTTAAAAACAAAGAAAAAAAAATATTACCATAATATATTTTTATTATTAAAAAAAAAACAGTTTAATGTTTAAATTTCTTAAAAATGACGTATTCAAGTCTTGGATTGTGCTAGTTGCATTATGTCTTCTAAGAGCAATGTGATGTTAGAATGAGAAGAGCCTCCTTCCTCCACAGCCTTGTGAGCTAATTCTCCAAGCTCTTTGGCTCTTCTTCTTCTCTCTGTTGCATCCTCACTCTCACCCATCAACTCTTCTACTGCCTTCTTCACACCTTCTTTATCCACTAACACTCCAATCTTCTCCTCTTCACCAAATTTCATGACCTCTTCAACCCCGGCTTTCACCCCAGCTTTTAGTACCTGCACGACCAATTTCTCGTTGCAGAATTGGTCTGCAAATAACGGCCATGTAAGCAGCGGTAGACCAGAGGTTATCCCCTCTAGAGTTGAGTTCCATCCGCAATGCGTTAAGAACCCTCCAACAGAAGGATGTGAAAGGATAATCATTTGAGGAGACCATCCTTTGATGATAAGTCCTCTGTCTTTGATTCTTTCTTCAAAACCGCTCTCCGAGATCCACTCACCTAACTCTTTATACTTCTCCCAACCTCTAATGACCCAAATAAAAGGTCTTTTGGATTCCTCTAGGCCTAGCCCGAGCTCCTTGAGCTGAGCCAGAGGAAGATTGCAAATACTTCCAAGGCAAACATAGAGCACGGACTCTTCCTCTTTAGAATCAAGCCATTTGATGCACTCGCTTTGATCAATGTCTGATTTGTTTCCCCTCTCAGCTTTATCTGCTCCCACCTTATTGCAAAGGGAAACGGGTCCAATGGACCATGCCTTACCGGACCTTGCTCCTTGTAGCTTGACATAAGCAGGCTCGAGTTCTTGAAATGTGTTGACTATCACACCATAGGATGTCTTGTCCGCTTCTTTCAAATCCTCCATGAACTCTGTCCACTCTTCAGGAGAATATGTTTCGACTGGAACTTGAGGTCTTGTGAATTCAACTCTATCAGGAAAATAAGGAACACGAAGTACTCCTTGTCTGACTTTAAATTCTCCAAGATCTCACGGTTCTTGCGTAAAACATGCATACACAGAAGACAAAAGCAACAAAAGCCATGGAAGAGATCTTTGGTATATTGAACTTCTTGGCGAGTTTGGTGTGTAAGGCAAACACATGTCAGAAATCAGACAGCTTGGTGGAGGACTCATCTCTTCCATGAGCTTCTGGACCGGTTCTTCAAGCATGTTACACGCTTTAAAGAAAGGTATCATGAGCCCCCATCGAGTCAAGTAGATCGATATTCTCTTGTCCCTCCGACAAACCAACTTCTTGATACGGAAACTTCAGAGGCACGATGTTAATGGACAAGCCAGATTCGATGGCACGGCTTAGAACATTCTTGAACCTCCCTGCATTGTGAGGCGTCGTGACAATTGTTACGGTCACACCGCGCTGAGCCAAGAGCTTGGCGATATCAACCATGGGAATCATGTGGCCTTGAGCCATGAAAGGGAAGAGAACAAAGTGAAGAGGATAAGATTTGTTGCTTGTTTCTGAACCCATGATGATTCAACGCTAAAAAGTTTTTTTTGTTTTGATTTTCGTTTATATTTGTGATAGCTTATATAGAGTACAATGCGTGGAGAGCAAAAGTGAACAGAACACGTAATAGATGACGTAAACAGATTTTTACTTGCCAAACACCTCCAGTCCAGTCCACAGATTGTTGATTACTAAAAGACATTCTAAGCCAATACTTAGTTTGTCCGTTTATGACCATCCGACATCTTCCAGTGACTTTCCTTTAGGGAAGAAAAGTTGAGAGACAATTCTGAGACACAGAAACAACAACTTGGAGACTCGGTGATAGTTACATATCTACTGCTGCAACTCCCACGTATTACGATAAAAGGCACCGATACTAATAATGAATATGTGTCTGAGACTTTATTAAAACTCCAATATATAAAAATCGTAGAAGAAGATAAATCCTACTTTTTAATCTTTCAAGACAGCTATCTACCAGAAGCCACAAAAATCACAATCAACAAAGGAGAGGACCAGAGATCCTTAGCCTACAACACTTTCGTGTGAATATTTCTTTCTTTAGTTCGGTAATGGACATGTCACACTAATGGAAATTTCCATACAAGATGATAATAACATAAACACACTTTACAACAAACATTAGGACAAACAAACCTGGATGGTTTCACATGCCACACTCTACCTAACGATATATATCGCAAAACCTCCACAATTCTCTGCAGTAACCGGTTGGTATTCACACGGATCTCACAGTGCACGTATTATTTCTTAATAGACTCGGGCTCGTTCGCTTTTCTACCTGAGTCGGTCCGATCAAGTCGAGCACCTCTCCACAATGTAGACTTGGTTGATCTTAGCAGCAACCCAAAGGCTGATGAGCAAGCCGCTCTCACAACCGAATCTTGAGACCGGGTCATCTTGCTAACCAGCGTTTCAAACACCTGACCAAGAGATGGGCTTGAGAACTTATTCAAGACTTATGAACATGTCATATGTAGGTCTCTCTAATATACCTGTGGGTAGTAGAGAGAGATTATGTGATGATCCTCTGAGAGTGATAACATGGTGGTGGAGAAGTGTATAGCATTCGCCTGAACTACTGGCCACGGAGCATCAAAAGCCTGCACCAGATATTTGTCACTTCAGTTATTTATAAATGTAGAAACTATAATGATTAGTCGAGGAAAACTGAACCTGTATGGTTGAGGCCATGTAAGTATCAACTCTTTCTGACTCTTGAACCAAGTGCTTTGAGAGATCCCTTACGAAGTTTTCATAGTCAGTTCTGAAAAATAAAAACAACATTAGGAGAATAAATGTGGCTATTGTGCACAAAATAGATTCGGTACTCAGAGGATGGCGAGACATACCGATCGTCAGAAGCAAAAGCACGTGAATCATACAGGGAAGAATGATCTTTGATGTCCATGAGTGGAGCAAACCGCTTTAGGGTGCCCTACTCAAACAAAAACAGATGTAGACTCAAAATTATCTCAAACAAAACAAAAGAGCAATAAAGCTGTTGAAGAAAATTACTCTGCACGCCTGTCTTATGTTAGCATCGTCGTCATGGAGGTGTACTATCAAGCGGGGAAGGGTGGAATGAATCTGGTATTACACATTTTCATCGGATGAGATTTAGATAAAAAAAAACTGAATGAGCTTCTTTCTTTTTAATCTATATCACTGAAAAGGAAACCAAAAACGACAATGTCTCACCTGCTCAACAAATCCCTCCCGTTGCCCTCCAGTAGCATATTTACTTAATGCTCCAAATGCTGCAAATGCATTGGCTCTCATCTTCGGGTCCATACTGACCTGTGTTACAAATTGAAATTTGAAGAAAAGTTAGTGGAAACGAACTACAATCAGACAAATGAAGTGAACTGGCTTTGCGTTTTTTGTGCTCTGTTCAGCGTTAAGTCCAGCCTAAAAGCTTTAGTGAGAACCTTTAAGATAACTTAAGCTGGACCTTACCTGAAGGTTACGAAGCCGAACAGATAAATTCAGCAAGATAGGTTCAACAGCATCATTAGATGCTGACTCTGTGACCTAAACAAGAAAACAAGCATATAAAGTTCATTAAAATTGCGTAGAAATCTAAACCTGACAAACAGAGTTCAGAAACATTTAGTTGTTAATGGGTATTAAAATTACCATCAATAAGCATGACACAGCAGTTAGTTGCACCGACTCCTCCAAATCATCGAGCAACGCTAGTATTACACCAATAACTTGAGTTGTGTAATGGTTCATACAAGCAGATGGCATCTGGAAAAACCCCAAAGCAACTAAGTTATGCATTTAGGAATAATAAACATTGTATATAAATCAGCAGAAACTGAATAAATGTCCAAAACCACCTTCATCCAAAGACTAGTAGGCTATCATCTAGTATGTGTTCTAAGTAACTCTCATACCATCAATATGCTCTGAATATATTTGTATAAACTAATTTTACTTAGTCGAAGATAAAACACCCCCATACTTCATGATTTAAGGTTCTTTAGATTGATCTATCATTATCAAATCCAAAAGGAGCATATACTTGAAGATGATGACAAGGAAATAAAAAGCTGCTCCACAAAACTCTTTCTTGCACTAGTCCTCTTAGACAAACAAGATAGATGTTAAAAAATGCTCAGAAAAGCTCTTACTTGCACTAATCCTCTTAGACAAAGGCGTCTAACAGTCGGAGAATCATCTGACACATGTCGGCAGAGTGCTTCAACCATCTCCTCCATCACAGAACTAAAATCACCACTGCAACTCAGAAATATTAGCAGCGGAAACTTAAGAAGGTAAGGTACTAAGGAAGTGCTTTGTTGCTTTTCCATGACACGCATCTAAATCAACGTGTCACGACCAACGAGTAAAATTCCAGAAAACTACACCTGCCTGTGGGAAACAAATTCAAAATGGCATCGAAAACATTATACCTGTAGCGTATAAACTCTGACAATGCAGCGGCAGCAGCTTCCCTTTGGAATCTTTGTGGACGGTTTAATGCTTTCGTTAGAATCATGCAGATATGTCGAACCTGTAACACCGATACTGAAACACTTTAGTTCTAAGCTTGAAGGGAAACTTTAACCTCCCTTTTCTTTTCTATACAAGTCTCTGTAAAAGGTCTGAGCGACAATGATCAATAAGTGAAACTTAACAGTTAGGCTACAAAGTCCCAGAGAAACACAACTGCAATCATCCAATAACTACATACCTCCTTTGGTCTCTTAATTGAGATGCATCCAGCAATACTGCCAATAAGATCAACCCACTTTTCTTTTTCCGTTTGCACCCCATTACGAGCCAAAATCTAAGAAAAGAAAAGTATCAGTTCACCATACTGGAAACTAAATAGAACCAGTTTGATGTTAATGTCGCAAGTTACCTTCCCCATCTCAAAATCACCAACACAATCGCAGAAAGCCTGGAATGAGGTTAGAAGTACTCTGCCAAGAGGGAAAAATATTACAAAGGGTTTACTAAAATAAGAGTAGCAACCGTTACGTGCCTATAATTCACTTGAAAGTACAGGAGTTACCTTAATGGATCTTGCTTACCGGAGCTTGCAAGTCCATGACAGCTTCCCAGTTGAAGAGTAAGAGCCCCAACGACAGAAGAGTAACTTTTCTCAACAGCTTTCTTTCCAATTTTTCCGCCACCTCTGGTTAATTGAGTATATTAGCCACCAAAAATGCATCACGTACACACAAGTAATAATTGATGGTATATGAAAGTTACCTAAAAAAAGCAGTGAGAGCAAAAATGGCAGCTTGAAGAATATCATCTTCCACATGTGTTTCAGAAGAAGAGCTAGTATTATCTCCCTTATGCGAATCAGCTTTAACTAAAGAACTACGATTGAGAACGGATATTAAGTGTTCCATGAACAAAACTGAAAGCTCCGTATGTTGAGAGAAAGCCTGCATGAAAATTTCATCTTATATAACCATGAAAGAAAAGAAGATAAATAATATCATGATTGAGAATAGTCTCGTATTATATCATAGTTCTAGAGAGAATGGTACTCACATAAAATGCATCTTGCATTGGCCAGCCACCACGCATCCTAGTTATGTCCTTTGTCACAATGTCCCGTCCAGCAGTAGCCAAAACTTCATTAAACACAATAGATGATTGTGTGTTCTCTGCCAGTGCAGAGATCTTCATGTAATTAAGGTAAGCAGTAATACACAAAGAGTGATTGTGAGTGAAGCAAACTTTAAGTGCAAATCAATGATAACAGAATTAAGTTAAGGATACAGCTCCAATAGCTTCAACACGTAAATTCTTCTCACTTATATGAACTGCTGCCGAGAGGAAGGACTGAGTCGTCCTGCCATAAGAGAGCCACAGAAGAAAGGGGAACAACGTCATCAAATATTTATACAAGAAAGTAGTAAAGCCCGTCTCTATGACAACAAGCTTTGACGTACCTCGATATATCACTGTCACTAAGCTGACTCCCTCTTCTTGAAACAAACTCAGTAACGGCTTGAATGGCTCCCTCAGCAGATTGCCTGATTTTGTCACAGATAGCTGCAGTGCTACTGTGCAAGGCTGCTACAAGCTGCATGACATAGCACAACATAATGGGACCTCAACAATCCAATGACACCAGAATTTATACAAAATAAGGAAGAAAACGAACCTCATCCTCCGTTAAAAGATCACAAATGGATGAGACTATTCT